ACTCACAATTCTGACTTTTTTTCTCGCAATTGCGAGTTTATATCTCGTAATTCTGACTTGTTTTCTCAGAATTGTGAGATATAAACTCGCAATTCTGTGAACATATCAGTCTTTTCTCCCCCATCAAAATTGGACTTTAACTCGCAATTGCGAGTTTATATCTCACAATTCTGTGAAAAAAAGTCAGAATTCTGACTTTATATCTCGCAATTCTCTTTATAACTCGCAATTGCGAGTTTATATCTCACAATTCTGTGAAACAAAGTCAGAATTGTGAGATAAAAAGTCGCAATTACCTTTTATTTATTTTTTTATTCAGTGGCGGAAACGGGCTTCCATAAAAAGGTAAATTTTTCATTGCAATAATATTTTATTCGGGTATTTCATTAAGTGCTATTCTTCCGCTAAAAGAATTCCGCTAAACGGCAAGCACCGTATTTATTTATTTATTTTTGACGGGCATATATCATATTTAGTTAGTCTTGTTAAAATATTAGTAATGATAATTATTTGTCACGTTTCCGTTTGGTGTTTTTGAATGAACGAAGCATTTCGTTCACCGTCGTGAACGATTCGCTGTTTTTAAAGAATCAGTTGAGTCAGCATTCTATGACTCGCTAATAAGATAAAAGGCGCCCATCTACTGGCTAAGACGAAGATTTATTAGCATGACTGTCGAGGGCATTTCCCCCCAAAACATATAGTACTTTAAATACTACAATAAATAATACATAATGCGGTAAAGAGTGAGATACAATTTATGAAAAGAAGGGGGAAATAAAACAATTACACAAAAATATATGTGCAAATATTAAACAAAAAGAAACTCAATGATGAATGGATTTAAAATACTTTGGGATGGGATAATTTATATTGTAGTCATACAGCCTAATATTTTATGTTCTTGAAAATTATCTATAAAACTAAATTTTTGTTTAGGTACAAGAAATAAAGCACCATAAATTATTATTATTATCATTATTATTATTAAATGATAATAATTATGTATTTAAAAATTATATTTAAGGTGAAAGACACGTTGTTTAGGTACAAGAATTATTATAATTATTGCTATTTAATAAAAATAAATAAATAATAATAATTAAAAATGATATTTAAGGTCAGACAAATAATGAACTAAAATAAAACAAATATAGTATAGACCATTTGTATTGATTCTGATGAATTAAGCTGTATTCCCACAAGTATGTAAAGTATGTTGACTGTAAACTCTGATGTAATCTCTGATGATTCTGATGATGTGATCATCCCTGTTCAGTTTTCAGCTGTGGTATCATCTTCCCAGCCGTCCTCCATCGCACTGAAACCCCAGGGTACATTTGGTCATTGGACCGGTCTGCAAATCATTCTCCCCTATAAGTGGGGCAAAGCCAGGCATTCTGTGACACTGGCGCTGGGGTCTTTGCCAGAGAACTGGCCATAATGCCACAGTGAGACCTCGGCAGAGGGCCCAGGCAGCGCGGCTGGGGCACGAGACACTGAATATAGTTGAATGAGGACACAGAGACCTACTTACACCAACTAGATACTGAGAGACAGACCCCGTAAGAAAGAGAAGGACTGGGGTATGGCGTATTTGCGTGCTAGAAACACACTTTTTTTAATTTTTTATAGTAGGAACTAAAAATGTAGTCCCAAACTAGCAGCTGCTGAGTGATAAAGTAGGACTAATGAATTCAGATTTAGTTAATTAGACCTGCAAACTCATTGTAACCATGCTTATAGCTTTTTACATTATATTTTGATGTTTACATCATTTACATTGTACTTAATGGTTATTGCTAGAAAATAACTAATATATACTAATTTCTATATAGTTGTATTTTAGTATCATTGATATACTGTTATTGGATTTTGAATTACATCTTTTATATTTTCTGTATTCATTCAATTTCAGTTTTAAAGTTTTGGTAATTTTGTTGTGTTTTTGTCTTTTTTAGTATTTGTTTTTTTTTTAAGTATGTCTATACAGTTTTCATTAAGTTTTAGTTTTATTTATTTTATAATTTCATACTTAAACGGAGAAATAAAAAGGAGAAATGTTGGCAAGTATTTTTTTTTTTTAACTTTTATTTCAGTAAATGTTTAATGGCAGTTAATTTTTTTTAAAAATTATTTTTTTAAATTGTTTTTTTTTTTAAACCTGGTTTGTGGTCAGGTGTTTTGAAAGTAATTAATTCTTATATCCAGCAAGGATGAATTAGATTAAAATTGACACTACAAATTTTCAACATTATAATATATAGTGAATTAATTTTCAAATAATATTACGTAATAATTAATCATGTATCTTCCCCAAAATTCAGCTTTTGTCATCACAAGAATTGATGATGATGATTTTTTGCTCTGATTTTTTTATTTAGTATTTAACTTTTTTCGAAGATAATTTAAAAAAATAATAATCTTGTGGACTTTCAAACATTTTCTGAAGGTAAAGAACCTTCTTTCACAAACCATTTGCTAAAATAAAATAAAGTTTTTTGTTTTTTTTGATGGCACTCAAATTCACATGAATTTAACAACCACGACAGAGACAAAAGACTTTTTAAACGAAATAATTTTATTGTTTAATGCACTGCCTCACACGTACATTGGATTCCTTTGCGTTGTGCAATATGGGACAATTACTATGAGAATGTGATGGCGAATGACTGGGACTAGATTTGCTGAGTAGTACTCTCATGTTGAGAGTAGAGCAGAAACACTTGTGTGACCGGAGTCAGATCGCCAGCTTAGATCTCTACACCCATCCTCATTCCTGCGTGTTCAGCACAGCATACAAAGGCAATACGACATACAAAAATAAAATCAAATAAAAGCAACCATTTGCCAGACTTCCTGCTCATACACAGATAACACAATACATTAAATCACAAAGTTACACAGCAAAAAGAAAGAAAAAAAAAAAAATAGTGGGGAAGCCACGTTAGAAAGAACAAATCATCAAAAAGAAGTGTACACCCTAAACCCTGAATCCTTCGCGACCCTAGGAGTCGAGGGTAAACGCTAGACGGGATGATTTCTGTTCTGTGCTCACCGCCGCGGTCAAACACAGACATCCATGTGGCAGTGCAACCCCATGACCGTAGCCAGAAGACGAAAATAAAAAGAATCCAAAAACATTGTTCTATATATTTCCAAGTATGGGTTTGTTTTTGACGTATATGCACATGAATGTTCGTTTCTCTCTCTCAAAACATATACACTCATTTCATCAGTATATATGCCTGGTTATGGCGCACTAGGGGCTCTTAAACTGAGTGATTTCACCCCGTAGCTTCTTTTAACCCTCCTGTGTCGGGGTCGAGGATGCGCTGTTGTAGGTTAAAGCTCCCATTCCTCTGACTTCTCTTTTCTCCGAACGCTTCCTGCACCCTCCTTCCTTCCAACCCTCCATCTTTTGAGTTTTTTTTTTCCCTGGAGACGCAGATACAGACAGAGCAGTAAAGTGGGAGAGAGAGAGCGAGAGAGAGAGAGATAGAGAGTGGGGGAGTGAGTGTGCGATCAGCCGAATGCCGAGTCGACCCCCTGCGTCCCACGCCGTCTCTCAGCCCATCTCTTTCCACTGCCGGTAGAAGTCGGTGATGTTCTTCAGCTCCATGCCTGCTGCTGCCACCGCCTGGACAGCCGCCTGCAGCGAGAGCAATGGACACCATGTTAAAGGGTTAGTTCACCCAAAAATGAAAATTATTTTTGTGCGCAAAAGAAAAAACAACGTATGCTGTTCTGTGTCAGCCGCGCCACGCCGGATCTGTTTCCTACGTTGTTTGCGCTTTGATTTGAATGAAAACAACATATCCGCGTGACGCAGCTGAATGCACAGAATAGCATACGCTGTTTACGTCCAGCTGATATTCTCCAAAATGGCACCAGGGTGATGCGGAGGAGATGAGTTGTTGAATAAAGTCGTTTTTTTTTTTTCTTTTGCGCACAAAAAAGTATTCACGTAGCTTCGTATAATTGCGGATGAACCACTGATGTCACATGGATTATTTTACAGATCTCCTTGCTACGTTTCTGGACTTGGGAACATTTCAGTTGCGTTGCTGTCAATGCAGGGTCAGACAGCTCTCAGATTCCATCAAAAATATCTTAATCTGTGTTCCGAAGATGAACGAAGGTCTTAC